ATTAGAGAGTGAGTGAGTTGGCCTGAGAGACAATTACCAAATTTGCATTCGCATGAATGGAAAACAAACAAATAAATTCAAACAGCAAACTTGAAACAGAAACAAAAATAAAGAATGTTATATATGGGCTTGTGCACATATAGAACGAGGCCCAAAACGAAATCGAATACATTTATTTGATTTAACAAATGTCAAAAAATATGAAATGAGAATGAGACTTTATGTACAAGTTATTAATGAAAGTCCACTGAGAGAAACCAAAATCTATAGAAAACTGATTATTAAAAATTTTTAATTAATCAATTTTATGAAATGATGCAAGATTATATAAATTGTATTATTATTAAAGAAATAAATATAAAAATAAGTAATATAATGTTTATATACTTTTTTATACGTTTATCTCCATGCCAAGTTCGTTTCTCAATTAAAGATTGTCTTAATAAATTCTACTCTATTTAGAGTTCAGTTTAGTATGTTGTATATATTTCTATGATCTCAAAAATATTCTTCCTTCTGTGTAACTTTTACCTCATCTATTCAGATCTGTTTAGAATACCGTGATGAACCGGCTGGAAAAGTGGAAATTATAAGGGTGAATTGGAGGGGAAGATGTTGCAAAGAATGGCGCGCAATGTATTCCACCAACGAGTACACATAAATAAAATTTATTAATGTATTTTTATGTGCGCTAAGAGTACACAATGTAATAATTTATACAGTTGCCGTCAACGTTGTTCATGTTCTCTCTCTCTCTCTCTCTCTCTCTCTCTCTCTCTACATTATGACGTTTACAATTTACTGTCCACATTTTGTTGTTTGCTCCGATGCTGATGATGATGATGGCTGACTGCCTCGGCGGGTGGCTGGGCTGAGTGGGTGGCTGGGTGGCTGGGTGGTCAGGGCAATGTGACAAACTTGCTGGATTTGTGCCCTTGACGAGGGTGGCTCCACCTCCACAAAAACCTCCACATCCACGCCCATTAAGAGAGGCCTCCAACCCCCTTCTGGGCATTTCCAGCGGCCCAGAGAATGCCAGCACAAATGCGGCGGCGTGCAAATAAAAATGATTAATGATGATGCCCGTTGCCGCAGTTCAGCTCAGCTCAGCTGAGGCAGCATCAGCAGCGGCAATGGCCGCCGAGCAGGCGTCAGTTTCCACTTTGACCTCATCTCGGTTCTCCGTTCGGTGAAATGTTTTGTAATTTGCCAAGGCCAGAGAGGGAGAGCTACAGCTCGGAGAAATACATTAAACATGGCTACAAATAGAACTAAAACTCTGTTTTATTTAATTTAATACAAGTATAATCAGAGCTTGGTTATGGATTAAGTTAAATTATTGTAAGATTTTTAATAAGTTATATGGAGTAGCAAGATGCATTTGAATACAATTTTAATTGGGGTATACATATTTTTGAGAACATCTTTACACAAATCTAAAGGTAAAAGGATCGATTACATCTCAGTTGCACTTAGCCAAATTAAATATTTGTTAACTGGAACGGATATGTAATTGAGTAAAGTGAAACGACCTTTTTGATTAAATCTAAAAAAATTACAGAGCAAATTCCATAGGAACTATTCACAACTATCATTAGTATTCATAAAAAGGTCTTTTAAAAACAATGTAATATAATAATTACTTAAATTTTAAATAAATTTTCAATTATCCGAAAATTAAATCTATCATTAATTTTCTACAACTAATAAATATGATTGCGATTATACCACTAATTTAATCTACAAGATGTAGTCAATGTCAAGTTTTTACCTCAAATTCTTTATTTCATTCAGTCACCTCAAAGTTTGGGATAATCGGATCTATACAACATTTAGCAAACAAGTCACTTTATGTATGTGATATTATTAAATAATGAAATAGTCAGGAAAGACGATTTTCTCATTTATATTCTTTATTTTAAACTAAACCTATATTCTATTTTAATTGTCTTATATATATATGTTTCAATTTAAAACGAATACATAATATAGTTGTTAAAGGGGACAATTCGAAATTTAACAATTGATAACAAATATGAAATATAAATTATAAATTATAAATAAGTCCTATTATTACTTATATTCACAGTTTGCTGCAAAGAGTATACAAACTTCCGCTCATCGAAGTCACTACTGCTTACTTCATATTTATTTTATTACATATATACAGTTATATATTCATAAGTTCCACAATCCATTGATTATCAAAATTAAAAAGAAAATAAAATAAGGTATTCAAAAAATAAGATATTCAACGCCAACCCAGAACCTGTATGAACTTCAGATCAGAGATGAAGCTTAACCTATTTTATATATTTTTTAAATTCACTATTTAAATAAGGTCATCAGGATATGCCAACCTAAGAGAAATCCTCTTTTCAAACACCTATTTATATACCTGTCCAGTTATGTAAGAGTAGCTAAGAGTTCGGCTTAATTCCAGCAATTGCTCCCTGCCATGCCACCAAATCAGCCAAGTGGCGGGGAAAGCAATGGCGGAAAGCAGACATGGCGGCAGTGGGCGGGGAGGACAAAGGTTAATAACTGCCAGAAGATGATGCATAGCATGACAAGGGGTATGAAGCAGTTGACAGTTGACTGGCAGCCACGAGAAGGAAGAAGAACCAGAGATGGGGGCCGAGGGGCGATTACGGCCATGTTCTCTCTCTTGGCAGCCATTTTTATGCCTCTGAGCGAAGCGCGGGCAACGTCGAATTTGGCCAAGTTTCTGCCGCCAGGTTGCCACATTCCCCCTCTCTCCCCCTCCTTTGCAGTCGCGATAATCGCACCTTTGCACCTTTCCGCCAGGCTGTCAGGCTGACTCAGGTGTGCCATGAGAGCGCACACACACAGACACACAGCGGTAGCTGGAGCTGTTGCTGCAGATACATTTCGGAATGTATCTACGAGGCAGCCAACCAGCGAGCCAAAGCGAACTCAACTCTTGCCAGCGGGGTGCATTTTCATTAAGAATGAAAAATGATGAGCAATCAATCATTCGCCCGAGAGGGTGTTTCTTATATACGAGCTTGCCTCGCCTTGCCCCGGCGGCTGCCATTCCGGCCTGAGCTCCCCTCCATCCCTTCCCGCCCTGCGCTGTTGCCGCTCCGCTCGCACTGCGGCAGGAGCCGCGCATCTGTTAGATACAGCTTGTAGATTGATAGCATTACCTGCCTCTGGTGTTCGGAAATGGCTCTGCGGCTCTGGTTCGCCATCTTCCATGTCTGTGGCTGCTCTTTGGTTGGTCAGTCCCTCATATTTCATACAATTTACATCTTCATTTTCGTGTATATAAATTCCTCGCCGCAGTTCTTGTGTTCTGCTTTCGCTCCGAGGTCTGCGTTGTCTCCACGTTGAATTTTTATCGCCGCCTGAAAATATATGTATATTTAACCCTTGATTTGTGGGTTGTGCCGAGCAAGGAGCAGCAGGAGCCGGGCAGGTCGTCTTTATTGCCACGTTAGACTGATGATCTTGAGAATTTGGTCAAATTAACAGGGCATTTGTTTCAAGCAGCTGAAAAGTACAAATTAATCGGGAAATCGATTGTGTGTGAACTATCCCCTATTTACTGAAAACATTTCATTATATACCCTTGAAGTAGTATAATTTTCCTATTTGTAACTTTCTCTCAACTTCATTTACTTTCTGTGGTTAAAAGAATGTCATTATAAATAGTGAAGTTGCCACAAAAACCAAGCAAATTAATACATCGAATTTTACATTTACACCTAACTATAACTGGTTGAAGTATAATAATTAAATTAATATTTAACTCTTTAACATTCTATTGTAACAATTTATAACTTTAGTAGAAATGAATTATATCCGAATTTTGTTGAAAAAATATTTAAAGTGGGGAGCTATTGACCTGCTTGAAGATCTTAATTAAAATTTAATTTCTTTAAACATGTTAGTACTATATTTAAATTGTTGTGTAATAATAGTTATAGTTATGATGTAAAAGAGGAATCTATGTACCAAATAAAAATATATCAAATATGAAAAAAAAACCAAATATATGTAAAATGTCTAACAATTTAAATCATATATATATTTTAATTAGCAATTTTCTTATAAATAGTCTTCATTGCAATATTATTATTTTTGTTCCGTTAAGGTATATTAATATAATATAGTTTACTACATTATATACCGCTGTATTTAATTTGGGCATAATTATATTATGTTCTTGCAAAGGCTAACAAAATTTGATCTTTATAGAATATGATCTTAACGAAGACTATAAAGCAATTATTCGCCTAATATCCAGAAACATCCTTCTCCCTTCAAACAATGTATGTGATATATTTATATATACGAAATACATTAAAAATTCATTCAAATAATGCTCAAAACTCTTTTCTCAACCTCACAACCTTACAAGATCAACTAATCCGAAAAACCCAAAAATAAAAAATCGAGATTTACAGCCTACAAAAAAAACACCCATCATGGGAAATTAAATCAAGCCAACACAGATTCTCTAGATTGGGAACGAAACAATAAAACAAAAATCCTCCGGACAGCTAAAATAAATTAATAATTCGTTGGGGTGCCGGCTCAAGGCAGGGTCCCAGCTCTCCCTGAGTGACTTCCTACTTCAGAGAGAGCAATTTACATAAATTGAACCAACGATCCATCGATACAGGCCCAAGATGAAACGGTCCCGGTCCGGACTGACCAATAATAATAATCAAATGTCAGCTGGATTCGGCCAACAAAACAGAAAAAATATCGAACATAAAACCACACCGAGAAACGAAAATCGACGATGAACGCCATCAAGCAACGGAATCAATTTGAAAAAGCTATTGAAAAACAGACGCAGCAACTGTCATCGGACAAATGATTTGTATTTTTGTTTTAGTTATTTATGTTTCATAAATTATCGGATGTATCTTTTTACGATATTAATTTTGGTTGTTGTTGTTGCTGTTGTTGCTGTTCCCCCAGCATGGTCCCTCCTCCTCTCTCTCTCTACTTTGGGCCCCAAAAACGGATGCCGCTGCTCTGACTGCCTGCCGATCAAGATTTTATTTAAATGGAACTCATCAACGCTCATTTGGTAGGTCTGTGTCTCAGTCTCAGTCTCAGTTCAGTCTCAGTCACTGTCTCCATCTCCATTTCCATCTCCGTCTTAAAGGCAATCTCCATCCATGATGGCGATGATGAAGCTCTGCTGTGGCATCGATTCCAGCCTTTTTTCCCCTTTATTTGAATAAATTAAATATATGGAAGGGTATTCTAAATAGAATGTACACTAACCGAGGGATAGAAATAAAATATAAAAAAATGTATGCTGACATCTTTAACCTGTAAACATAACGAAAATCGTAGACATTAATTTTACAATCTTAAGATAATGGTTATTTTCTATAACAAAATAATAATCCAAGTAAAAGCGGGTACTCATTCGAGAATTGGAAAATAAGCCAGCTTAAGATTTGTGGTTTTAATGCCTGAATGATTTAATTTAGTAAATATAAATATATTTAATGCCTGAATGATTTAATTAAGTAAATATATTATATATTTATATTACATTTTTACTGGATAATTTACTTAGCTTACTTTACAAAACAAGAAAAAGCATTCCCTAAATACTCTAATCCATATACAAATTTTCAAAATACAGTCATCTGAACTATTTGTTTCTTTTACAATTGACAACACTGAAAACATTTTACTCTATGTATGAATATGAATGATGATGTATGATCTAAATTGTGATCTTGTAAATCTTACCGTATTTATCCTACTGAGAGTGGTATATTTTTAAATAGTAAAGATCGGTCCAACCAACCGTAATGGGACTATGATACTTGTTAATATTTTAGAGTTTTCATTAGAGAATGTATATAATTTAAATTGATTTACTTAAGTATAAGCATAATGGCCATATGGCATTTTCAATAAAAAGGCTATTATCTAAAAGAATTCTAGATGGAAAATTAGTAAGATGAAAAATACCGATCTCTCATTCATTAAATTGTATAGTAGGTTTGATTAAAGGATTGTTCTCTAAAATATATATTTTTTATTCAAAGATAAACTAGATAGATGTAAATACAAATAGCAGAAAAATGAATTACCATACAATCTTTTCAAATTTATTTATTTATTCATAAACAGTGTACCTAACCGCTAATTGAAGGTTTTTTGTCTTGAATAAATATTTATTATGAAATTATAACAATAATCTAGTTAAGATATTTAACTTTTAGTTCCACGGAGGCAATTATCTTAGTATTTTTTAATGTTCTTATTTAATTATTAAAGGTAGGTGGGATGTCAAAACGATCGAAAGAACTTGATTGAACTATCAGTTTTAATGAAACAGCAAGGGCATAAAAACTTCGTCAAGATGGGAAGTCACATCTCTCCCTCTCTCTCTCTCTTGCTCTCTCTCTCTCTCTTGCTCTCTCTCTCTCTCTCTTTCTCTATCCCGCTCTACTCGCTCATCCCCAACATGGGTTAATTGTTCTTGTCTCCACTTTGTCGGCATCTTTTGGACCCCTTGGTTGGACCTAGCGTTAATTATAGGAGGTCGTCCGATTCGGTTGTGCTGATGATGCCCTGATGTCAACGTAGAAGTCGTCGTCGTCGTCGGCGGTTAATAAATGGACTTGGTCGTATTAAACTCATTAGTTTGCTTTCTGGGCATAATTTTAATTAATCACTCAAAATCCACGCTCACGCAGGGGCACAACCACAACCACAGGCAAAGATACGGATTCGGATTCGAATTCGGATTCGAGAGGAGCCAGAAACGAGTTCCGAGCGGCTTATCAGAGTGCCTCTGCATATTAAACGATCCACTGGCTACCTAAAACACAAATCGGAATCCGAGGCAGAATCCAAATCGAAATCGAATCCGTATTTAAACGAAATTAAAATTCGCTGAACAGCGCGAAAGATCGACGGATTGTTCGTTACTCAATCGATTTTTAATTCCAAAATGAAATAAATCAAAATTAAGAGAGAAAAAAAATCAACACACAAAAAGAAACGCTCAAAAGCGACTCATGAAAAAAAATCGAGGCAAATTAACATTCGCCTGCCCGCCATTCGGTTTGATATATTAAACTCAAAATGTATATTTCATCATTAAAAAATCGAGAAAAGATACAAAACAAATCCGAGCGCTAAAAGCGAAGAACGAAACGCTCGAAAAAAAGATTGAAACTAGTTTTACAGGTAAGCCTGAAGCCGAGATCCGATCAGATGCGACGAGATTCGTCCATCGTCTCACTGGGATAGCGCCCTCTCTTACGCTCCCACTGCCCGGGTCGGTGGCGGCATCTCTTTCGCTCCGACGCTCGTATGATAAATAACAAATCAAACGCTAAAATGTCGGTAATGTATGTGGCAAGTCAGGGGTTCTCTTAATTTATGGCCTGGATCAATAAGAATAACGCCCCAATCAGTGACTATAAATTAACGCAAAGACAAAAAACGGAGAAAAAATACATTTACCTATACGACTTCAAAAAATGTCGGCTGAGAATGTTTCTTGGCGGCTGTTATGCACTCCGTTTCGTTTCATTTCATTTCATTTCGTTTGGTTGATGTTTTCAGTTCGAAAGTATATCAGCCTTTATTCCCTGGTTCGAATTCCAGAGCCAAAAGTTTGAATCCCGAATGTCGTTGACTCAGCGATGTCATTTCAAGTCAGAGTTATATTTATATATAATTTCGAGGCTTCTGAGTTAAGTTAATTTAATTTGATAATTAAAAGATATAAATAAAAAGAGGGAATCATCACTGTGCAACCGCAGATTGTTAGGTTTATTAAGCAGCAAATCTTAAGATTGATTTCCTCATTTCCAAATCTTGGAAATCTTACAATAGGGTACACTTCACTGCAGCTTATTTCTCTGTAATTAAAAAATGCAATCTTACTAGTTTTGAAAAAATCTTCTTAAATTATTTAATATAACACGAATTTCCCTTTATAGTTTTAAGAAACAAGATTATATTTTATTAAATATTGTGAACGGTTGTATATAACTTGAGGTATAGTTGGTTCAATACCATATTCACATGTACATATTTTGAGATAGGAGTATGTACATATATGCCAAGTTCACATACAGATCATTATATTGAATATCGTTATATGTGTTATGTTAGATTCAATTGACAGTTTTAAATTATTTCCAAAGGACCATTTCTCAGAATGCAGACTTGAGTATTTCTAAGCACTCCATCGGAAATATTTTTGCTTTGGTCGAGTTGAAGGATCAATTAAAAGCAAGTTGAAAGCGATCTTTATAACCCCATTATGCATATTATTGAATAGTTAGTTAGTTAGCTAACGAGCTTTGTTTTGAAAAACAATACAATTTTAATTTTGTTATATTACTAAATTTTAAATAGGGTTAGAATAAAGAATCAAGTAAATACTTTAATGTAATAATATAATATAACTTAATAATTCACATTCATATGGAAATAATGTAAAAGGGGGGCTTGAAAATATATGCGGTCTAAAAATATAACTGAATATCTCTCGATTATATGGATTTGCAATACTCAATGTAACGCATAGATCTACAAAACCGACCTACAGAGGTAACCCCCATAAATTAAACCATTCCTCGCACCTTTCGCCACTCGCACAACCTGGCGATTTCTGCAAAAAGGTAGCCAGGCCATCGAATCGAACCCAACCCAAGCCCAGCCCAGGGAAACGAACCCACCTTCCTTCCACAACTTATCCCGCGGTGAAGTTGAGGCAAATAAACTGAGACTCTCTATTGAATTGCACATGGGGCCACTGGGACAACATGAAATTATCAAAGCGCAACTGACAAATGCCAGGGAAACTGACATGGACACGGATACCGTTATATGCGGACACACACACACACTCACACACATTCTGAACTAAACTATAGTATACTATATCGTACTATTCAAATGTCGCCGACACCGAACACGCACTTTGACACACGCACAATGCCGAACAGGTGAAAAGCCAGGTGGGCAGCATTCTGAGAACAAGTGATACATATAGGTACGCGTTGGGGTGCAAATGTACATGCATGCGTACCAAGGTACAATTTTATTGTCACCTGTTATTGCCATAAATAGACAACGATCTTGTGATTTAAATTATATTCGTTATCGTTTTTATTATGGTAGAATTTATAGTAAGTGAAATTCAAAAGGTACTTTATATCGAGTTATATTTTTTATATAATGTCAATGTACCTATCTCGTGGCATCTCATCACTGGTGTGGGCTCAGGTGGGGCACCCCACCACCAGGTGATGTATGAATTGCTTTGAATTTAGTTGTCAATGCTTGATCGGCTGAGGGGCTGCAGGGATATCCGAGCGCTTCATAAATTGTTAAAATGTGTCAGAATTGCACAAACCTCGGCATAAAATGGTTTGAAAAGCTCATGGAAAGGGTACGCTGACACGTCTATAACTGTACCGACAGAGGAAAAATGGTGACATAAAACATTTGCAATGCTGAAGAAAAGTTTATTTAAAAATGATGCAGAAATATGTGGGAAAGTGAAACCTATAGTTTACAACTTCACGGTACCTCACTTTCTCATTGTAAATCCACTGTAAATAAGCTTTTATGGTACACTCATAAAAGTATTGTTATATATTTAACAAAAATCTACCTAAAATTCAATTCAATGCAAAATATATATTTCTTATATTAGAGAAATACACGAAGATATTTTAAGAACCCATTTAGCAGTTTTTCTTTCTAGGACAATTTTATATATGTACATAAATTTTTAAGCCGGTTTCGATCCTAAATGCCGTCAAAGTCCCTCATAACTATAGGAAAAAATACCATATCAACTGGTAGTTATTAGTGGTTTGCTACCATTACTTAATTTTTTTAAATGTAAAATAATAAGCTGTACATTTTAAAATTGGTGCTGTAGTGCTGTAAAGCTTATAAATGTAAAATAAATGTAAATGCAAGACCCTTTATTCTCTCCTTCAATTGAATATCTAAAATTGGTTGTTTTTGTACCGAAACATATTCAGCTTACTTCCTTACTTAAAAAATAAATATTTCTTATTCTAATTTACGCCAATCAAGTTTTACATTAATTAATATAAGTCCGGTATTTGTAATTTTAAACATTTTCTCAAAATAAATTACCAAGTTCTCTTTTGATTTGAAAGGGAAGTTCAAAAGTTTTTAATAAATTAAATTCAAAAACCCCTGTTAATTCGAAGGAAAAATAAGACTAATTTCTTTGACTCTTTTAAAAGAAGTCACATTCTTCTGTAATTATGGTTTGTTTTATTTTCGGTTT